AATTCATCAATGTTTTTCAAAAAGTAGGTCTTAAAATTTTAATATTAAATTTTTCTTCAATTTTTTATAATTTTCAATAAAGTAATAAAGGATTTTGAATCATAAAGATATTTAATGTAAATTTTTATATTTATAATAACTTTACTGATTCTTCCGGAACCATATTTGTGACTGGTAAGCATCTCAGATTTGAAAAAAAACTAGAATATTTTTAGATTTTGAATCTAGCAAATCCTCTTTTTGATGCAACTTAAACCATTATTAAAAATTCTTTTATAAAAGTTTTATCAATTTCATTTAAATGTTGAAATAAAGGATAAGGAAAAATAGCTTTCAAAAACGAAAAAGAAAAAGAAAGATTTTACTAACCAAATTTTTAATCATTATTTTTATTTTTTATTAAATGTACTATAAATTGAAAATTACATGTAATTTTTTTTATTTAACTTAAAGTTAATATTTAATCTAAATTATATCTTTCTATCATAAAATTGGCTTTCTTACTTAGTTTTAAACTCGTGTTGAAAAAATTTTGTGAGTAGTTTCTTTTAAATATTACTTTATATAATATTTGGGTATCATTCAAAACAGTGTTTAATATTAGATATAAGAATATAAAATAAAATTAGATATTTACCATTTAAAAACTGTTTTTGTTTTAATAAGATTATTCTTGAAGAAAATGATGAAAAAATATTGAAATGAATAATAATGTTTTTATCTTATAAGAAAACAAAGTTAAAATAACAAAAAATATTAAAAGATTTTTAATTTGATTAGCTACTGAAAAACGGTTAATTTTTTTATCATATTCACAATATAAAATTTATATAAATTTAAAAAGTTATTTAGAGTAAATAATTTTAATATAGACATGTTTATTAATTTCAATATAAAAAAGTTGAAATAATCAATAAAACAGTTTTTAATAAAATAAGAATTTACATTCTATAAGGTTTTTAAAATCTTTTTGGTTGAATGTAAATGCAAAATATTTTAGTTGAATTTGTTACTTTTTATAAACAGCATTTCTCAAAAAACATAATCATTATAATTTTAAAAAGATACACAACTCGGTCATAATAATGATGACTTTATCATATTTTATAGAATAATG